TCCGCACCCAGCTGGTGACTTATGAGTACCATTTGGTCGATATCATACAAGGCTGTCTCCACATGCCGGTCTGGAGAGTCTAGCACAAGTACCGTAGTCTCAGACACGACCTGGTTCACCGGTATCGATGCAATCGGTGTCGAACCAGTCGGTATCGACGGCGTCGATGGTGGCGGAAGGGCTGGAGCTGCTGGCACAGAGTCCTTCTTAGCAGTGGATCTTGAGCATCGATGCCGACAACCGTCGGTGTCGGGCTGCTCTGAGACGATCGAAGCCGACGATCTCGTTGGACCAGGGGAAAACTCCGCACCCATCTGGTGACTTACGAGCTCCATTTGGTCGACATCGGACAAGGCTGTCTCCACCTGATGGTCTGGAGAAACCAGCACAAGTACCGTAGTTTCAGACATGACCTGGTTCACCGGTATCGATGCAATCGGTGTCGAACCAGTCGGTATCGATGGTGGCGGAAGGGCTGGAGCTGCTGGCACAGAGTCCTTCTTAGCAGGCTTCGCAGCCTTGGCCACCTTCTGCGTCGCCACTGCAGGGTTGGACTTCCTGGCCTTATTAGCAGGGGTTGACGCTGTGGAAGGAACGTTTTGTACCTTAGGTTTCGGTTTCGACCTCTCGGTATCGGAAACAGACTTAACCTTCGATGTCGACGGTCTCGATGCCGATGCGTCGGTAGCGGAAGACATGGCGACGGAGGAAGTGACCGGTGGGTCAGCCATCGGTTGAAGTGCTTTTTCCAAGAGGAAAACTCTTAAACGTGCCGCTTTGTTCTTCCGAGTTTGTTTTGAACACTGTGCACAACGTTCACAGGAGTCTGGATTGTGAGTTTCCCCAAGACAGAAAATACAGTACTTATGGCCGTCTGGAGGAGCCAATTTACTTCCACAATTACGACAACGGTTGAAAAATCCCCACTTTTTTGACTTTTTTGTCTTCTTCTTCTCTATAGACTGAGGAGAAGAATACCATTGACAAGGCGGGGGGGGGGGCAGCGGCCCGAAGGCCTGAGGCAATTTTACCTCAGACGGCGAAAAACAAAAACTCTCCTTTTTTTTTTTGAAAAAACAGAAAGAGAAAGAAAACTGAAGAAAAAACGGAGGCAAAAAACGAGAGCTGATCACTAAAAAGTGACCCAAAAACAGCGATCTGGCCAGACCTCTCGAAGAAAGGTCTGTTCAGCGCGGCGGTAAGGAAAGAACTGGCGGGATGTCCATGCCTGCCCTTCTGGGCATGCTCACTGGGGCTCCTGAGCATGCTCAGTTGGGCCAGGCACGAAAATCCTTTCAAGAGAGCTTGCTAGGCACCGGCAGATCCAGCGCAGGCGCACTAGATCCCATTGGTGTGAAGCACAGAGACCACGAAGAAGATCTACCATTATACTGAACAGCACTACTCAAGAGCCAAGGATTAGTATGCCACAAGAAAATTTGCTTAAAATTAAAGCACAGTATGAGAGGAATGAACCTAATATTCAATAATAAGAAAAATAATCCATAGCATAGTGCAAGTCATTTCCAATCAAAACATAAATTTTATTTTAAAAATTAAATCAATAAATGAGTTCTTGGCAAATTTCAGCTTACTCGACATGGTTGTGTACTGTTAAAAGTATGGTACAGTGGTTGGAATGTTGTCCTATAACTGGAGAAACCCAGGTTCAAATCTACACTCAACTACAGGATACTATGTTACACTGAAAACACTTATGTCCTGCATGTGCGTGCATACATCTGTTTGTAAGCAAAAGCCAATGCACATTTTTATTTTTATTTATTTATTTATTTGAGTATTTCTACCCCGCCCTACCCCGCAAGCGGGCTCATTCTCTTTACAAATGAACCAGTGAAGGGGTTTAAATCACAAACTGAGTTCTACTTGCACTGAATGTAATGTTAGAATTACTCAATGCATGTAAAAAGGAAAAACAAGTGTATGCTGTACACGGACTATACCTGTGTTCAATGTAACTTGTGAACAGGACTTCATTATGAGATCTAGGAACAATTACACATTGTCTCAGCCTGACTTATCTCTTCAGATTTCTTGTGAAGATGAAATGGAAGAAAGGAGGACTGTGCATACTACTATGAACTCTTTGATAAAAGAGCGGGATAAAAGGTAATAGAAAAATAGACAGAAGTATTGAACTGTGCCATGAATTCTTGGTGCCTCAGATCTGAGAAAGGATTGCAACAATGAGAGCAACAATAGCATCTACCAATAGACTGCTCCTGAAATGCTCTGCTCATATGACACTGGTGTCTGCTGCATGTATTTCCATAGAACTAATCTGGTGTTTTGAATTGACCAATGCTACAGTATTTTCCCCCTCAATTAATTCCACTCTGCTTGTTGATTGGTGAGACAGTATGATGCTTTGGTTAGAGTAGTAGATTTGGAAAAAGCAAACTTTGGTTTGAGTTCCCACCTGCCATGAAGCTCAATGAGAGACTTTGGGCCAATCACACTCAACAGGAATCTAACCAACCTCACCGGGCTGTTACAAAAACAAAATGTGAAAAGGAGAATAATGTGTCCCACACTGAGCAACCTGAAGAAAAGAATCTGGGGGGGGGGGGGTAGACTATAATAGTTTTTAATGTCTTTTTAAACACTCTTGAAAATCAGTTAGAATCCATTTCATTCCCTCTCACTATTCTATTCAAGACAGGCTTCTTAAGATTCAGCCACATAAAACAGGTTTGTACAACCTCTGGCTACCTACAATGGCTCACCAGGGCAAAATTCACCTCCTGTTTATGCTGCTTGCCTGGCAGTCCAAAAATCAGAGGCTAGGGTAAGCACTCAAAAAGCTACTATAATGAGAAGGTGGATTATAAACACTGCTTAGTGGAACACCAGTTGTGCAGGCTTGATATAAAACAAACACAAAGACTTGAGAAAAGAAATATGGGTTGAAATGCTGGCTTAGCCATTAGGATGAAAACTTGGATGATAGCTAATCATTATTTGTTCTGGATATCCTTGGAGGGGGGGAAATTCCCAGAGGCTCTGTTTTTTAACCAGTAATAAAAAAGTTTGCTTTTGTTCAGACTGTTGAGGGAAGGTGAAATATTTTGAAAACCTGGAGCTCCAAGATGTACCTATGCCTTCTTGATTAAACATATGGAACAGATAGTCAATGGAAAGCCAAGCGGAGTCAGACTTGAGTAATCAAAACACCCGAGCTGAGAGGGGTTAACGTGCAAGGATCAGTTCTGAACTTTGAAGTTCTTGAGTCTTCATTTTTCCTAATTAAAATGAGATTTAATAACCAAACCCACTGTACAAACTATGTACTCCAAGGTTGTGTTTTTAATTTGGTTGGGAATTCTTAAGAGATTCCAAGAAATCAGCACCCCACAGGAGACACTCCTAGTGACATGCTTTTCCTAAACAAAAATTCATCCTGTTTTCTTTCAAGTGATTGCTGATCACATCTACTGCCACATAGGCACCATTGATTGCTGAGCGGGTTAACACTGACTGCGGTGTTATACTGTTACATGCAGGAGCCTTGGGAATGCCTAAATCACTTGGCCCATGGAAACGAGCCTGGTAGAAGCATAAAAAGCAGGCATATCACTCAACAGATCAGCCCGTCGTTTTGCCAACAAGTCACGGGATGACTCACATACTACAACGGATGATGGCACTAACTAACTCTACCTTGTTTGTGTTAAATACTTTGGTAGACTCAAAGTAGCTATAATGGCTGTTATCTCAGTCAGTTTACAGTTACATATGTTACTAACATAGATGAGCAGCTGTGTGGGAAATGTGGAGAAGCCACTGCTTGGTTAGGACCTCAGTGTTTACCCCTCAAGACTACATGGCAGAAAATAGGACACCACATTTGTATTAATATGTACAGCTGTGTATTTGGAAACCCTGCCCATGTCCAGCTGCATTGACCACGATGTGTGCAATCCTATATATCCTTTGAATAAGTCAAGAGGCTTGGAAGGCTGTCAGGACTGCACTGTAAATTTTACAATAACGTGAGCTCCTATACCGAAACCCTGATCTTCAGTTTCTAGCACTCTGTTTAAATGATGTAGAAAAGAGTAAGAGTCCAGTAGCACCTTAAAGACTAACAATTTGTGGTAGGGTATGAGCTTTCGTAAGTCACTGATCACTTCTTCGTTTGGATGATGAACATTCAAGGATAAAATAGTGATTCCTACTGTTCAGTATTTCTTTCGACCCAAAATACATGCTGGACTTCATACAGAGCAATAAAAAATGAAATGCTTAGAGGGTACATAATCTTCAAAGTGCTATGGAGAATGCAAATTAAACCTGCTCAATAAATTTACAGCAAAAGGGTTATATTGGCATATGCTAGACACCAAATGCATATTGGTAATTGCTATTTAGAAATCTTGTTACTAAGATGTTACAAAAAGTCTAATATTAACAAAGGAACCACAAAGGAATAACTGTAGACGAAAGACCACTTTCTTCTGCCCATTCACTAAGAATACAGTTCTAGCTCCTCCCACATCTTCAGAGATTAGGTGGGTGATTAGCAGAGACAGAGATTCTTCCCTTGTGGCCCTCCAACTTTGAACAGTCCTTTAAGAGAGCTGTCTGATATCTACAATGTATTATTTTAAACATTTCATTCTCTTGGGCTTTTTACAGCTGCTGAATTTTTAGGACTTCATCTACTTTTATTATATATTTCAGTTAATGTGACTTTTATGACTACTTTTAGGTTGGTATTATAAGCCACTTTGAGCACACAAATGGAGAAGCAAGATGTAAATCTATTAAATAAATTTCAGCAGCGTATCCTGAAAATATAGCATGCAGTTCAATATAGCTGCTGAACTTTTCTTGTGAAGATATCTGCACAGTGTTGCTACAAATTTACTTCATTGTAAGTGGGAATGCTGATATTTAGGGGAACCCCCCCTCCCCTTCATTTTTCTCACGTACACAAAGCCTCATATCGTGTTCTAGGCTCCAGTGTTCAAACTTACTTTGTTCATGTGGATCTGTTGCTGGTACTGTTTCTGCTTCTCCAGGAACTGCTGATGCTGTTGCTGAATTACAAGCTGAGCCAAAGTGCTCTGAGGCAGTGGAGCTGACTGGGTTCGATTCAGCGGCCTGTGCCGAGGCAACTTGTGTGCAACTCTGAGGCCTGGTGAGACTCTTTCCTTTGTTGCCAGAGGTGACTGTGGATGAAGAGGGACCCCACCTGCAAGCCAATAATATTTCTTCATCAAATAAGAAGGCCAACAAAACAAAGGCCTTGTTACAATGTCACATTCACACAGGGATTGGATGAGAAGCCTGAGAACTTCACTTAGGTTGTCCCTAAGTAGCCACTGGATATGGAATGCCCTTCCCAAATTAAGATAGTTTTAATATAATAAAGCATAGAAGTAAAGCCCCACACTGTGTAATCAGACAGCAAAAGCTGTGGTGACACAAGGTTGCCAGCCTCCAAGTGGGACCTGGGTATCTCTTTGAATTATAACTCCAGATGAAAGAGTAGTTCCCCTGGAGGAAATGGCTACTCTATGGCATGATACCCAGCTGAGGTCCCTCCCCTCCCCAAACTCCACCCTCCCCAGGCTTCACCCTCTCCCCAAATCTCCACATATTTCCCAACCCTATGCTGGCAACCCTCTGCCTACGTGCTCACCCCTCTAACAATAGAATGCTTGCAGGGTTTTCAGAAGGACCATCCCATTGATAAATACCTGTAGCAAGGAGTTTTTGCTGCCTCATTTGCTCTTTTAGTAACAAATGCTGGAGAAGAGCCTGGTGGCTGCTATTTGGCTTTCCCTCTAGAACGATGGGCTGAGGGGCCGAAGGTGAAGAGATGCTTCCCCTGTACTGTCCAGGCAAAACCACTCCTGATCTGACTGTCTGTGTTTCACATTTCTGTTTTTCTTTGAATGATGACGACGAAGCCTGTGTTTTACAAAAAAATACCATCTTATGGTTTTCCAAGGATGCAGAGTGGGTGTGGGGAAAGTTTCATGATGTGGATGATGACATGATGTGATGATATCCTGGCAGTAGTTCTTTGTCAATGTCATCCTGTAGCTCAACCCTAAAATCAGCAGGAGCCAAGATTCCTCTAACAGCATGGTGGGTTGCAAACCAGTTGCTGCTTAAGTGCTCATTAAGCACGGTAGCTCATTAATTCCTGAAATACCACTGATGACGGAACTGAATTTCAGAACTGGAAAGGTTCAGAAGCCAGTTTTCCCAGTTCAGTCTTCCTAAGGCTAAGCCAGAACTCTTTCTGACGTTTGAGCCTGGTTCATTATGGGATCAGTCCCAGCTTTAACAGCTTCCCTTTCCCACTTCATCTTACCCAGTGGTGGCATAGGGGAAGGCCGACAGAGGCAGCAAACCCAGGAGACAGCATCAGGGGCCTCTATGCCCATTTTGTTTGGCCCTTCAGGGAAACTTGTTGGCTGCTGTGTGAAAGAATGCTGGACTAGATGGACCACTGGTTTGATCAATCAGGCTGTACTTACATTCTCACACCCTCAGTTATGCACAAAAGTACTGCTGCAATAATTTTTGGGGGGTTGCTATGACTCCTGGCAGGTGCTATGTCACAAAGCTACTGAGCACTCCTTGACATGATGAGGCTCTCCAGAACATTGGTGGAAAGGGTTCAAGGTAGGTTGCTGGGTGGAGGCTTATAGGAGAGTGTTGCAGGGAAACCCTAGACCTGATTGTACTCCTAAAGACTTCATCAGGTGCTCAATAGAGCTCAACCTTCCAAATGGACTTGTAAATAATATAATTTATTGGTTGAGTTTTGCAGAAGTAACTCCTTTTAAGCTGAATCCTTTCTAAAGTGAGATGAAGGGAAGGTTCCCCATCAGTAAACACCATCCCCTCACTTTCCCAGCATTTGGGGAAAGCAGAAGAGTGGCTATGCTGTGCTTCATCTTGTGGTTAGAGGCTACAAATGATTGCTTCCCCCTTGCACCTTGTGGTAACCTTTTAAATAGCTACCACATGGAGTCTGATCATCTCAATCCACTCAGAGTTCACACATAAGGGACAATCTATGATGTTATTATAGCACTGGATCAGGAATGAAGGGCCCTTTTCTCCAGCCTGTATTCCTCAGTTGTGTAAAAGACTGAAAATGGCTTATCTTCATCATAGCAAGACGACTGGTGCACTAGATGTGCCAGGCTAGTCTGACAGAGTTGAAATGCAGCTGGGTTAAATCTTTGTTTTCCAAGTTTACAGCCCCCCCCCCAAAAAAAACCCTCTTTCCTAGCTGCTGGCTGCCCTTTATTTAAAGCAGGCTGTAAATCAGCTGTACACTTCAGCTGAAGCCAGTGAGAGCTGATACTTGATTAAAGTGTTGAAAAGGAATGAGAAATTTAGTGCACATTAACACAAAAAGAAGTAATCTAGTTGAAAAGTAATAGGCAGTTGTCAGCCAATGAACCATACAGTGCAGCAAAAGCTGAAATACTTTGAATAAAATGACTTGCAAAAAAACAGATTGTAAGCTACAAGCATTTGTGAGAAAGGGTTTAAAACAAAAACAACAACCCCCCAACCTTCAAACATCTTTACGGTACAGAATTTCTCAGTGCAGGTCACTGTATTCAAACCTTTTCTTGAAGCAATATCCTGAGAGGATGATAACGAAATGTAAAAGAACCAATTAAAAAATAATTAAAGCCACACCAATGAAGATACCAGTTAAATCAATTACTTACACTGAGTTGAGGCTGAACCGCTGGAAGTCCCAAAGTGATGTTGGGCAAAGAGGGGGATGTATAGAGACTCAAAAGGTTCATTGATTCTTCATTCATAAGAATGCGTTGTTGTGGAACCAAATGCTGTGGAAAAATAAAAGAAAAAAAGATTACATCCTGATGGGGAAGATGGATTTCCACCACCATGCTGTGGAAATAAAAGAAATTTATTTATCTTTCACATGGACCTATGTATCCTGCTAAAACTCTAATGATGGAAAAATGGCTTAATAATTTTTAGACCATAATTTCCAGAATATAGGTCTTAAACTCAGGACATCTGTGCATAGAAGGATTCCTCAGAGCTGGATTAACTCCCTAAAATCTGAAGTCCTGAAAGTGTCTCTTTGGAAGGTCAGCAGTGAACATCTGAGTCAAAAGATACCATGAGAAGAATTACACAGCTTCCTCATGACTTCTGGTTTTGTGCAGAACTCTTGGCCTTATATAGATCAAAAGAAGACTGTACTCTGAATGTAATGTAAAGGTAAAGGTAAAGGTTCCCTTGCTCGAAAGCCAGTCGAATCTGACTCTAGGGTTGCGGTGCTCATCTCCGTTTCAAAGCCGAAGAGCCAGCGCTGTCCGAAGATGTTTCTGTGGTCATGTGGCCGGCATGACTAAACACCAAGGCGCATGGAACCTTCCCACCGAAGTGGTCCCTATTTATCTACTTGCAATTTCTTGCTTTCGAACTGCTAGGTTGGCAGGAGCTGGAACTAGAGGCAGGAGCTCACCCCGTCTTGCGGCACCCGGGTCTTGAACCGCTGAACTACTGACCTTCCACAGCCTGCAGTTCAGTGTCTTAACCACTTGAGCCTACACAATTCCTGACCTGCTAAACTGAACACAGTCTACCAGTCATGCCCACTAGTGACCAAGAAAATTTTGTTTGCTTGGAGCTGCAATAATCTGAGGAACAGTAACAGCGGTCAGTGGGCCACAGTACGTGACTGTGTTTGGCTTTGATGAGTCAGCAGTTGTTGTACAATAGGAACAAAGCTGGAGTTTGCCTCTTCCTCAGTCTCCTACCATGGTCTGTCCCTTTTTAGGGAAAACACTCTTGCCTCTGTATGGATTCTCTCATTTTAACATGTTTCTGATCTTTCCAGTTACCACAAGCTTCACATGCAGCCTGATGTCTCTACAGACTCATCTTCAACCAAACTCTTTACTATCCATACATTTTCAGTGTCTCTCAGAAAACAGATAATTGAAATTTTACCATTTTCCCACATTTACAATAAAGTGTGTGTGTGTGTGAATGTGGCATTACAATATCTGTGACAATAATCTATGTAGAATTCTTTTTTATAGTTTCCGAAACACCTTTGCCCTTTACTTTTCTAAAATTCGTGTTCTTCAACATGTGGTCTAGTACAGTTTCTTGAATTACCCTCTTCTGTTTAATGCTTGTCTCCCTCCCAGACCCTTTACACAATAAGAGCTACAAAAGGTCTTATTAGACTTTGGAACTCTGGCATGATATGGTCCTCCAGGGAACAACATCCTTGAAAAAGAATACCTTGTGTAACAGTATGACACAGTGACTGCTTTCTTCCCAAACAAAAAGCATATGGGACTCCAATAATAGACCACCTCCATGAGGGATCCTGTGCACTCAGGCTTTGACTAAAATAAATATAATAACTTGTCAAGCATGTTGTGGGGAGCTGTAGATTTTCCTCTGGACAAACCTGGGATATCAATTAACTTTGGGAAATACCTTGGGCTAATACAATGCAACCTCAGACTGTCATTACCGACTGGGGCAGCACAAAAACACAGGATGTTATTCCAAAACATAACCTTCCCATGCAGTTTGTTTGGAGACTAAACCTATCACTGACATAATAACAGAACTAGTCTATAAGATATGTCATCCCTCCCATGCCTCAGCTGTCTAACATCAGAATCGTAGGAAACTACAGGGAAGCACTCTGAAGAGAGAAAGAGTGGCACTGCTCCTATATTTTACCAATTTCCCACCACAGCAGAACTAAAAACACCCAGCAACACTGAGTACTTTTAATCATGCTCACGTGCAATAAAGACACCATCAGATAGGGCTTACACATCAAATGGACGCAGAATACACACAAGCTCCAGGGTCCCATCTGTACTGGCCACATGCTAAGAAAATTGCCACTCTTTGCTTGCTTACTGAATGGCTGTATAGTTTTTTTTGTAGGGCTATCCTAAACAGAGTTGAACCCTTCTAGGTCCACTGAGGCAAAAGGCATAACTTTTCTTTTTTTATGCTTCAGAACACACACAGATACTGACCTTTAACATTTTAAGCACACTCAGAAAAAGGAATCTTTTTAAAATTAAGTCAGAGCAATTGATTACTGTAAAGGCATTTTCCTTTAAATGGCATTTGTTATTAAAGCTGAGCACATTTTGATTGCAGGCGCCAGTTATATTCTTGCTAATAGTCAACTGCATTTGCTTAATTTAAGCTCAGCTTTTTCCAGGGTATTTCATTATAGTTGTTATTGCCAATAATGCTCCAGAGTAGTCATTCTGGTATGGAGTGACAGCATGGCTCGCTCTGTCTCTCTGGCAGAAATGGAAGAGCAAACATTGTGGCTCTTTGGCCAACTACTCACTCAGGGTCCCTATGGAACACACGGAGCCAGGGGGTTTCTTCACTGGGCAGTGTGGTGAACTGCAGAAGCAGTGGTGCAAAAGAAGAGCCAGGGCAAAAAAGGAAGGGTAGGGCAGGAAAGAACTTTAGAGCAGTGCTGTATAATGAAAAGGGTGGTCTCAATACACTTCGAGGCTGCCAACGAAATTCTTTAGTCAGTCTTGGCCAAGACTAATTAATAGGTAGATGGTTCTCTTCCGTGTAATGTTCTCCACCAAATTGCAGTCCATCGCCCATGGAACATAAAAAGAGAAATTGTTCCTCATCCTACTGATGTCAGAGCTAGCTGTGTGTAAGCAATAGAACTTGGATGTGGTCCATGCCCAGCAGTTCATTCAAATTGTACATGATGCACTGCAGCAAACAAATAGGATGCTTCAGTGAACCTGGATGCTTCTGTTGAATGGGATTGTGTTAGTCTGGATCCTAAATAAGTAAACAAACCAGACATTAAAATCTGAATATATTATGTCCAAACTCAATGAGATGCTGTAAGCTCCATTTAAATGGATCTCCAGGACATTTTTTGTTGGTAAATAGCAGCCACAGGAGGGCCTGACACCCTCCCGAACATATTGAGCCCCCCCCATACCTTGTTCCCCCCCATCCCCCCATTTTGAAAGTGGAGGGTTCCCCCCCCCCCTTCCGCTTTCTGTGACTGTTCGGCTGGATTGGGGGGGGGGGAAAAGGCCGGA